ATGCCCACGTGTCACCAGCAGGCCTGTGAAGCCCACGGTCTGGAGAGAATGAGAAGCCCCACGCCCATGGCATATCTCATGCAGGCACAGGGAGGGGAGGCAGAGAAGCGGGGACTGGGCAGGACAGACTCGAGGGTGGGACCCTGGAGCCAGGGGACTCAGGACTGCCTGGCCTGTGGGTTGCGGGGGTGCAGTGTCAGGACTGGTTTGGGGTGTCACTGTTGACAAGACCACTCGTCAGGGGGGCTGTGACAGGCTTGGGCCTGGCAGGGGCCAGCTCCCTTGGCCAGAACGGGTGGAGCGAGGGCCCAGGCAGGTGGAAAGGGGCGGGGCAGGGCCCGTGAAGCCGGTGGCCTGGGAAAGCCAGGGCCTTCATCTGCCAGCCGGGCCCAGGTTCTTTCTAAATTTGCTCTCCCACCAGGTCCCTGAGCCCGTGGGGATCTGTCTCCGGTGCGAGAACTTTGTCTCTGGCTGTGCTGCTTTGTTCTCAGGGCTCCAGACTGGGCACAGGGAAAAAGGAAGGAGATGGTCCCCCCTCTATAGAGTGGGGGAGGAAAAAGGACATGAGCCCTGGTCTGGGGGCTCCAGACTGGGGTCAGAGGAGAGGAAGGGAGTGGAGAGAGAATAGGGAGGAATGTGGGGACACCAGCTGGGCAGGGGGCCCTCCCTGATCCTCTGCCCCTGTGGGGGCTCAGGTGAGGGGCTGTCCCTGGGGTTGGTGGGAGTCTGTGGAGGGCAGATGAGGTGCAAGGCCCATGAGCCCCGGCTGGAGGAGGGGAAACCTTCAGCCTCGCCAGGGCTCCTGGGCCTGGAGCAACCCAAGAGGGCCGCAGGGTTCAGGAGCGTAGGTGACCCGCTGGCCAGGGGGCTGGCTGATCCAGTCAGACCTCCCCATCTGGCGCCTGCGTCCAGCCTAAGTCCCGCCCTTGCCACACCCCTGACTCACTTCCTTTGCATAGAAGCGGAAACCTCCCCGGCTTCCTCCGCTCTGGACGCTCCCTGGGGACCCGCAGGTGCTGCCCCTCCAGGCCTGAGCTGGCCCAGCCAGCCCCCTGACCCCAGCCAGGGTTTTCGGCTTCCTGGGTCACAGGCCTCAGTGCACAGGGAGGGGGCTGCCCTGACCCACCTGCAGGTATGGGGGTGGTTTGGGGGCCAGGGGCATGTACCCCCATCTCTCTAGCTCTGTCTCCCCAGTTGCTCTTCCCTCATGCTCTTGTCTTTCTGTCCATCTTCCCACCCCGCCCCCACCGGCTGCCCTTCCAGCACCGTGGTCGATGGAAGGGTGTTGGGAGGACCCCAGTCTTGGGGGTTGGTGGCTCAGCGTGAGCACAGGGCTGGGGCCCATTCTCAAAAGCATAAGTTCCAGACAGATCCCACCCCGAAGTGTTCTTTAGTGTGTGGGGCGTCCCAACTCCAGGGGTGCTCGGGCCTCTGCTTCCTCTGGCTCCCACTTGGAACGCGGGGCCCCTGGCGACCGGCAGGCGGAGCTGTGGGTGGGGGAGGGGCAGGGTCCGGCCTTGACCTTTTTTCACCCCTAATCGGCGCCTAGTCGGCACCAACTCCTCCTCCAGGAAGCCCGGAAGCCGCCCGATAAGCCGAGATCCCTCCCCGTCCCCCTAGACTTCCTCAGGGTCCGCGGCTGTTTATGGGAGGCACTGAGAGATTTGCATGGGGCCCCGCGGGGAGCTGTTTCCTGGTTGGAGGGCCAACGCTCCGGTTCCGGCCGGACCAGGTCCTGGCCCGGTCCGGCCCTCCCGGGAGGATGAGTTCACTCCGGGGAAGGGTCCCAGTCGGCCGCGCGGAAGTCTGGAGAGCCTCTCGGTCTTCCTGTTGCAGGGAGGGCGAGCTGCATGCCGAGCGCCTCCCCTGCGCCATGGACCGCGGCCAGCCCAGCCCGCAGCCCGGGGCCGC